GTATAAAGACAAAATCCTTATCCATGTAAGATTTTAAGACTTTGATGTGAATAAATGCTCCTGAGAGAATATGACTGCTGACTAAATAATTTGCTGAAAATGAATGGCAATGTAATAATAGAATTTTACTGCAAGAGGACTTCAGATTCATTCTCCATATTTTTAAAAATGCATTTTATTGAAATATCATTTATGTACAGTGAAATACACAAAACTAAAGTGACATGGGTCAATGCATTTTTTTTTTGCAGTGTTCCTTCACCTCCCCTCCCACCCCTGGTAACCAACAAAGAAAGTTTCCTTCCATATATAAACCTTTCCTTGACTTTTAACAATAATGAACTAATACTACATGTGTTCTGTGATTAACTTATTTCACTCATCATAATGTCCTCCAAGTTCATCATGTTATGTGGTATTTTATTCTTTAGGGTTGCATAGTATTCTATTGTGTGTGTATACCACATTTTGGTTATCCGTTCTTCTGTTGATGGGGATATAGGTTGTTTCCATGTTTTTGCTATTGTAAACATTGCTGCAACGAACATGGGTATGCATATATCTCTTCTTCTCCTAACTCTCACTTCTTTAGGATATATACCTAGTAATGGGATTGCTGGGTCAAATGGTATTTCTTATTCCAGCTTTTTAAAGAATATCCATACTGTTTTCCACAGTGGTTATATCATTTTACAGGCCCACCAGCTCTAGTGTAGGAGAGTCCCAATCTCTCCACACCCTTGCAAGCATCCACCATTTTCTGTCTTGTTGAACTTTGCCACTAGGGCTGGGTAAGATGGTATCTCGTTGTTTTGATTTGCATCTCTCTGATGGCTAATGATCATAAGCACTTCCTTCATGTATTTGCTGGCCACCTGAATATCCTCTTTAGTGAAGTATCCATTCATGTCTTCTGCCCATTTTTTAATTGGATTGTTAATCCTTTTGTTATTGAGGTGTTGGAGCTTTCAACAAATTTTAGAGATAAGTGCCTTGTCAGGTACGTAATTATCGACAAGTATGAATTTGTTGCTGTCATTTTGTTATGTGCTTTTTCGCAGTGTTGATTTCTTTGTTCCATATAATTTTCTGTGCTGAGCTCGTTTTATTTTTGAATCATGTTATCACTTCCTTCATTGCTATTGTTTTGGTATCTGCTAAATATTTGTGCTGGTCCTCTTTTTTATTTTGACATGAAGGTTTATAATTTTTCTTTGAGGTTACCCTGTGATTTATAATTTCTTCCCAAGTTTAGAATAGTCTGTTCTATCTTGTAGTTGTCTTGACTTCCCTACCATCTAGAAGTTCTGTAACTACACAGTTTTTTCCCACCTTTTGGTTTGTAGTTGTCTTCATTTGTCAACTGATGCCTCTGGTTCCCTCTTTACAATCTTGTAGGCTTATTTACTTTGGATACACCTATAACTGGGCTGGCTTCTGGGTTATGTCATCATGTGTGTTATTGATCAGTTGTTGTTTGCTGTTGTTGCTTCTCTGTCCAAAGGACTCCCTTTAGCATCTCTTGTAAGGCTGGTCTGGTTTTAACAAATTCCCTCAATTTCTATTATCTAGAAGTGTCCTAATTTCACCACTATATTTGGGGGACAATTTTGCTGGGTATATAATTCTTGGTTGGAAATTTTTTTCTTTCATTGTTTTACATATACCATCCCATTGCCTTCTCACCTGCATGGTTTCTCCCAAGAAATCTGAGCTTAGTCTTACTGATTGCCCCTTGCAGGTAACTTTTCATTTTTCCTGTGCTGCTTTCAGGATTCTTTCTTTGTCTTTGGCTTTGGTGACTTTGAGGAAGATATGTCTTGATAATTTTTAGGGGGTTCTACCCTGTTTGGGGCTCGGTGGACTTCTTGAATGGATATATTCTCATCTTTCATCATACCAGGAAAGTTCTCTTCTAACAAATCTTAGACAATTTTCTCTGTGCTTTTATTTGTCTCTAACTGTTCTGGAATTCCAATGACATGTAGGATATTCTTTTTGATGGTATCCCACATGACCCTTATCCTTTCATTTTGTTTTGATCTTTCTTCTCACTGTTCAAAGAAGTACTGAGGTATTTGCCTTCAATCTCACTAATTCTGTATTCCATTGATTCAATTCTACTCCTTTGCCCATTCAGTGTCTTATCTATTTCTGAAAATTTAGTATTAATCTTCCAGATTTCTGTTTGTAGATTTTGTATCATTTCTAATTTTTCATTTATTTCATCATTTTGTTCTTGTATTGTCTTTCGAAACTGTTGTAGGATTTTCTCTGTGTTTTCCTCAATTTTGTCAGTGTTTTCCTTCATCTGTCTCTCAATTCATTGAAGGTACCTAAATATAATTCTTTTTAATTCCTTATCAGGGAGTTCCAATGCTGCATCTTAGGATGTGTTGTATCCTGGCCCCTTGTTTCTCCTGCTTAATCTTGCTTATTTGTGTGGATTGTGATGCGCTGTTGTCTCCAAGGCATTGTGATGTTTTTGTATTTATGTTTAATTGGTGATTGGATGTTGGAGTGACTTGCCCACAATTTTCTTTGTTTTGTTTGTATGTTATCTATGTAAGCAGGGTACTGTGTTGTGGTCCTCTATTCACTAGTTGGCAGCACTTATACACTCACCCTGTCTCCCTTCCCATTGTCTGTCTCCCATATGTCCCTGCGTCCTTGGCAAACAGATCCTATTCTTAAGTCCCTAGAATCTAAACAAGAATGCTGTCACTTTAAATATCCAAAATGGCCACCGCATGTAAACAATCAAAATGGCTGCATCCTCCAGACCGCCTAAAGTCCACAACTCAAGTCATCTCCCTCCTTGCTGTTTCCCTTCCTAGTCACAGGCCACCAGTGCAGTCATCCCTGGTGCCCTTGGCAACCAGGGATGGTCTTTAGGTCAATTCTCAGGTCCCAATACCACCTGGAAATATTCAGGCTGTTGGTCCTGTCAGAGTAGCTGGCAGTCTACTGCTCCAACCATCTCTGTATTTACTGTTTTCGTTCAGGTTTTTCCACTAGTTGGTGCCTAATCCACTTGTGTGTACTTCCTTTCAGTGCTCAGGGCTCCAGGATTATCTACTGTATCTCTGTCAACTGGTTTCTCCTTTCTATGTTGAAGAGGGTCGGTGGAGCTTGTCTGCCTATTCCGCCTTCTTACCAGAAGTCTCCATTCTCCATATTTCATCTGTTCTTATAACGGCTTCTAAATATATACACAGGCATGAGTGTAAACACACACACATATGCACAGATATTTTATATTCAGGACAACAACTGATAAAATTATCTCAAAAGAGAAGCTACAGCCTGAGAATATAATCTAAAGCAAAGCACAGGTAGATTGCTTGAAGAGTGATTCTGTCAAAACTTAATTTTTTTTTCTTATTATTTCAGTTAATAATGACAAAGAACTTCCTCCTTATTCCCTGTCTCTTAGATCACAGAGATCACTATGAAGCCCCATGGCAAGGAAGTGAGGAAGCAAGTCCACAGCCACATGAGTGAGCTGTCTTGGAAGTGGACTCTCCAGTCTCCATCAAGCCTTCAGATGACTGTGGCACCAATTAAGACCTCGACCGACTTCTCATGAGAGATTCTAAGCCAGAATCATCCAACTGAGCTACTCCTGATCCACAGATACCTTGAGATATTAAATGTGCATTGTTTTAAACTGCTAAGTTTTGGGGTAGATGATTCCCTGTGTATGGAAAGGTCTTTGTCATGTTAAAAATAAATAAATAAATCTGTAAGAAGATCAATGTGGCTGGAACACAGTTAAGGAGAGGAAAATAGTGAGAAAGGGATCATCAGAGTGACAGAAAATAACTATCAAGGTCTTAAAAACTAAGAGGGGAAGTCAGCAGTTTCTTATCCATCTAAAAAAAAAATGGGAAAAAAAGCCCATAATTAAATATAAGAAAATAAGGACAAAGCAAAAATAATCACCTGCCCACTGATAGCTAACTAAAGGCAATTCACCAGTCCAGTGCTCAGGAAAAGTTGTCATAAATCCTGTCAAAGCACAAAAAAGGCAAAAGGATGTCATCACAGAAGGGCAAAGACTAGCTTTTGTTTTAGAATATCATCTTATCAGAAATAGTGCAGACACTGATAAGCCAATGTTGCTAATTTTGAGAATTACTAATAAATATCTAGAAAGTGAGCATAAAGTACTAATGAGGAAGCATGGAAGCTTTAAAGTAAAAAACTTGGTTTCATTCTTGGTTCTTCACGAACTCTATGAACTTTGGTAAATTATTTCTCTCCTAATTTTACCAAACTGCAAAAAGGAATAATAATGCCATACATGACCAATCTTACTTAAAGATAAAATGGAATAATATATGATAAAATGCTTTTGAAACTACAAGATCCTATACAAGTGTCAACTGGAAAGAAATCTGAAGCTAAATGTTTCTATCACCACACAGGAACCCAGTGTGGAAACTACAAAATCTCTTGAGACAAGAACCAAGGTCTTTACATCATTCCACATCACCTAATAATTTTTATAGAATTAATTTACACTCATCAACTTATGAATAACGTAAATAGAACAAACTGGGTTAATATGATAAATTCTTGTCCGTCCCTTCTGCTTTCTCTAATAATAACCCCTTTTCTACTGTGTACTCTTCATCAACAACATAGTTGTTGACAAACAAGTCACAAGAAAGTTCCAGAAAATAAGACACAAAATTGACCACATTCAAGGCAACAGTTTTTTCAGGAATCACAGAGTATCAGCCAGATACTAGGCACTGTGCAAGCCTATTATATCAACCTTATATTTCACTAATCACTACATACTTAAGACATCAGAAAAGGAAAGCAAACACTTAATGCAAACAAAACAAATTCTAAGATTTAATGAACAAAGATACCTCACTATTCAAGAAATCAGTAAGTGCTATTAATGTATTTCAAGAAACAAACAAACAAAATCATAGAACAATGACTTGGAAATAAAACAATCTCCTTTCATGAGGGTAATTACGAACCGAATTCTCTTCCCCCTCTTGTAGCTCTCGCTGCTGTTCCTCATGCCTTTTAGCTTTAATTTCCATGGCTTCTGAGATCAGGTCTCTTAGAATTGATACAGGTTTTGCATTCTTGATAAAATGATGCTGGAAGAGCAAAAGTTAACAGTGCATAAATTCAAGAGATTTCCCTAAATTACAAAAGACAAATGTTAAAACCACACATAAATGTTAATCAGGATCAAAGGTGGTTTTTTTTATCTAGAGTTAAAAGAACAAGTTGAGAAAACAGAGTATTTCAGCTGTTTCTGAACTAAACATTTTGCTTTTGAGTTTATTGCTTTTAAAAAAACATTAAAGTACACCAAAAAAATGTAATCCCATAACTAATGAAACTACAATATCCTTAAAAATAGTATTATCTAAAGGAAGTAAGCTTAGGAAATTTAAAAAAAGAAAAGAAAGAAAAACAGACTGGGAATTACATTACATAAAAACTTACTTTGGCATTTAGTAACAATTAATCTTAACAAGGTGACAGACAAAATAAGTGAGAAACAGGAGGGTGACTATACAGTTACTTCTTTTAGATATTTTCTATTTTATTATGTCTTGAGTAATTTAATTGTATCCAAGGGAGAAATTTAAAACACACAAAAAATTTTCCAGAAAATGAATCTTGCCTCATTTCTAACAACTTTTTATTTCTTTTTTTATACCACCCTAATCTAGCTATATTACCCAAGTTCTCTACTTCTGACAACCAGAAGGAAAGCTACCAGAACAGACCTGGGTTTTTAACGGATTTTTTTTTTTTTTTGAGAGAATAAAGATAAGATAAAGAGGCTATAGGTATAATTTGGGATAGATAATCTTATTATCAGGCAGGCAATCCAACTTTAAAGTATAATTTTTATAATTATATGTCAATAGATAATGTCAAGTAAAAGCTACCTGAGATATTTTAATAAAAATCAATAGATTTTGTCTCAAAGACGGAAAGATTTTTGTGCTGACAAAGAAATGAAAGGCATCTGGGAGAGCCTTCAAATGGTGAACATATCATCTGGGAAAACTTTTGAGTAAGAATTGCACCAGATTACAAAAATACTAGGATTGACTGCAATGAGTAAGTAAATAAATAATGTCGTAATAGTTACAGATTTATTTATAGATAAATTTATTTGATAGAACAGTAAAAACCAAAAATCAAACCCACTGTCACTGAGTTGATTCCAACTGATCATGACCCCTATTTGGTTTCCAAGGCTATAAATCTTCACAGAAATCAATTGCCTCATCTTCCTCCCATGAAGTAGCTGATGGGTTTGAAATGTCTCTGGTTAGCAGCCAAATGCCTTACCCGCTACACCACCATAGCTCCTTATCCGTGGTATAAATGCCTCCAAACCAAACCAAACTCACTGCCATCGAGTTGATTACAACTCACAGCAACCCTACAGGACAGAGCAAAACTGCTCTATAGGGTTTCCAAGGGTGTAAATCTTTATGGAAGCAGACTGCCTCATCTTTCTCTCACAGAGAAAGATGGGTGGGTTCAAACCACCGACCTTTTGGTTAGCAGCTGAATGCTTTAACCACTATGCCACCTGAGCTCCTATAGACTCTTAGTCATTCACTAAAACAGAGTTGTGGCTGGGCATACGGCTGCCCAGAGAGGTGCTACATTTCTTAGCCTCCTTTTCAGCTTGATGTGACTATGTGACTAAGTTCTCACCAGTGGAATGTGAGTACAAATAATGTGCTCCACTTCCTTGTCTGGGACTTACAACACTGAGTGTGCACCCCTCCATGTTCTCACCCCCTTCTGCTAAGCTGAAAAACAGGTACCTGCGACACAGAAAAGACAAGAATAGTGCTCTAGAGGATGGTGGAGCAAGAAGAAAGAGGGAACCCCAGCCCTACTCTGAAAAAACTTGGGAGAAACACTGGTAGAACGGTCACGAAAAGAAACCTTTGAAGATAATGTTATTTGCCTTTAGGGAATTTACCATCTAGAATAAGGAATATAAAAGAAAATATGCAAAAAGTTGCAATATATCATACAAGTCATGCTCATGACGGTTTAACATAGCCTAAATTATTAAGAGCCAAGAGATGTAAAAGTAGGAGAAGAATGAGTGAGATATAGTAACAACAACAACAAATGATTAAGAGCCAAGAGATGTAAAAGTAGGAGAAGAATGAGTGAGGTAAATGCAAATACCTATACAAAAGAGACCATTTTCGGAAAGGTGAACAATATAAACAAAAGTGATGTTAGAATACAGTACGAAGATCTGTCTAGCAACAGCAGAAACACTATTTAGAGGAATGGTGTTCTTCCATGAGGTTAGATCCAGGCAACAGTGAGCAGGAATTCTTCCAGTCAATGCTATCTAAAGAGAGCCACTTTCATTACATGAACAAGATAATAACATAAGGAAAAGACTATCTTTGATAGCATGAGTTTGCAGCAGAGTTTAGAAATGAAATAGAGCAGGGAGAAACTATAGTAATCCAGGTGTGAATGACTGAGAACCTGGGTTAAAAAGCAGCTGCCAAAATAGAAAGGAAATAGTGAATTTGATAGAACAACTTATGGACTGATTATTTATTAATAAAAGAGGAAGAAGATCAATATTTCAAAGAACTCCAACAGAATTCCATCTCTTTTAAAAGGTACAGAAATCTCAAACTTTATTATGCTTTGTTATCATCTCAGGGATAATTATGAGCCATCCCTCCAAGCTACTGGTTTGTTCTCAAGAAATGTCGATATGTAGCATTATGTTTACACAGCCTACTGAAAGCTTGCTTTCATGCAGTTTGTTGAGAACTGACTACAATGTTATGTTACCATTAATCTATAAAGTTCACCTTTCTTAATCTCAAAATCTCCGTATGGTTGATCTCATCTGTTCTCACATTTTCTCTACATAACTGCTACACAATGATTCTGACCAACAAAGAGGAAATGGATGATGAAGTTAAAAGGGTAGATGAAGAATGTTGTTGTTGTTGTATGCCATAGAGTAGGACTCTACTCATAGCAAGCCCTCCTTGGGTTTCCAAGGTGGTATCACTACGGAAGTAGATTGCCGAACCTTCCTTCTGAGGAGTGGCTGGTGGGTTTGAACCACCAGCCTTCTGGGTAGCAGTCAAGTGCCTTAGGCACTACGCTACCAGAGCTCCTAGAAGAAGAATAAGACCACATTATTTTAGCATTCTTGACAGAAAGAAGAGGTTTCATCAGTAACACTGCCAGACTTTTTAAAGATATTTTTAAAGGCTTTTTAAAAGAAGTAGCAATTGGTAACAACAAAACTACAGAGTAACATTAAAAAAAAAAGTAGGAACATAAGTTGGCAAAAGTAAGGCATTACAACTGTGATAAAAATGTTAATACACCAGTGTAACTAAATGGGTTGAATACCTATGTAATAAACAGTATTTTAGTTACATAGTAAAAGACCAAGTCGGTTCATAAAATACGATAAATTCAACTGCATGCACTCCACATGAGATATACTTAAGGTCAAACTCATGTTTGTATGAGACATTACTTAAAACAACCTGGGTTGAAAGTTAAAGATGGGTTATAAAATATTAGTCAAACATAAAAAGATGTGAAGTATAGAGACACTGAGAACATGTAGAATTAACAGCACAAAACAATAAGTGAGAAAAATCATTCATTAACAAAAGTGAAAAGATTACAGCTATACTATAAAACTTTTTAAAAGAAATTGATCTAAATAAGTAAGTCATAGGAGATTTTAATATTCTTCTTCAGTCACTATGAAATAAATCAGGCAAAAAAATAATGATAAAAATGATAAAGATAGAAAAGAAAAAACAAAACAAAACAAAAAACAGAATAGATTGCCCAAAAGCAGAACATAAGGGGCAAAAGAAACAGGCATATTATGGGGATAGTATTTCCAATCAGTGAGGAAAAAACAACCGAAACCAAAACTGGTGCTGAGATGTCTGCCTGCCTTTTGAGGGGAAGAAATTAAACTAGATCCTTATCACAGGCGACACCAAAATAAAGTCCAAATAGATGAAGGAGTTAGATGTTAAAAAATGGAACTAAGAAAGAACTAGATGTTAATATGGAAAAATATTTATATTTTCAATTCAATGCTATAAAACCAAAGTGTGTGTGTGTGGGGGGGGGGAGCTGGATTTGAATATATACAATTTAAAAATGTACGAACAGTAAAAAACCATAAACAAACTAAAAAATGTATTTGTAACATATTTAAGTCTGACAAGAGGCTGATTCTATGAAGGGTGTTTAAAAGGTAATATATGAAAAGATGAGCACACCAAATTCTAAAAGAATAAAATTGCACTATTTCTAAATGCACCTGAAAAAAAAAACTCAACTAAAGACTGTGGGATATTTTTAAGGCATTTGACTTAGGGAAAAGAGCAAAATTACCCAAAATCAACCTTTTCTGTTCATGATCACCTATTTTAAAAATTAAGGCTTTATGGAAAGTTTATTCTTCTAAAATCTGAAATATTTCCCATTAAATTTTGTTCATGTTCTGAATTACAATTCCTGAACTGATAGAGTTCAAATTAATGAAGCTTTATGCAAAAGAGTCCTAAAGAGAGTTTGAAGCGAGCTGAAGAGAACTTCCACTTGTGGACAGATGGTATAGCCCTATTTTTCCCTATATCACCCCAGGAAGCACAACTAAACTCTGGACATTATGTATAAAATAAACAGAAGAGAACTCTGACAGACGGGAGAAGACAGCTAGCTAGGGAACACAGGATCCAAGGAAGGACACAGCTGTGAGTTTTGTTTTTGCCTCATACATTCCAGGGTGGGTAATGAAGGATTGGAAACCTAGAAACACCAAGAGGCACAAACCAAAAAGTCCCTGCAAAAGCTGCCTCTCTCAAATCAAAGGACCAAGAAAGGGGTAACCTTGCAAGACAGAAAACCTTTAGACAATGACCATTTGACTCTAGCCAAACACTACAGAAAAAACTATGGCCTCATGTCTACCATCTCCAGGCTTTAAATGAGCTCTGGTAGCACAGTGCCTAAAGTATATGACTGCTAACCAGAAAGTTGGTGGTTCAAACCTATCAGCCACTCCACAGAAGCAAGAGTAGATAATCTACACCCATAAAGATTTACTGCCTCAGAAACCCAATAGGGGTCGCTATGAGTCAGAATTAACTCAATGGCAGTGAGTGTATATATATATATACACCAACGTATATACCAATGTGGTGTCAAAGAGTGCCAACTGGGGCATTCATCCCCAACAGGCAAGAAGCCACTCCCCTCCTGGCAGGGTGTAAGATCACAAACCAACCTGGACTTAAACCTTTAATGG